CAAATGAAATGGTTCACTGACGATGTGTCCGGAGGCCTGAGCAGACTCTAAGGTGACTGAGGTGGAGTTGTGGAGTAGTCGTCTCTGGCATACACAACAGGTGTAAGTTTCTTGCCCAGGGTTTGAATCGATGCGAGCGCTGAGCAAAAGAATACGTAGCAGATGTAGTCTATAGACCAACAACTTCTGAGATATTTCACAGTTTCAACTCGTTCTTATTTTCTTTCTATTCTTTGTTTACTTGTGGTACACAAATATCAACGGCTAGGACGGCGCAATCTTGTATTCTATCATTCTTGACAAACAACGTATGTATATATATACACATAAATTAAAGAAAACCAAAGCCAGTAGATATTTGAGAAAAAATGGCAAAAGGGTGTAATAAATTCATGGATTTTAGTTCCGGAAGAACTGAAATCAGCTAAGGCAAATACTTTCTATATAATCGCTATATTTTATTAATTGCTAACTCGATACTCTTCTTCTGCATCAAAGCAACTGTTAAAAATTTCCAGCAGTAAAAAGTTACTAATTGGTACAACAGAAATGTAAAATTTGCTCATCATAGTAAACGGTTTTTCCATTATAGAACTATCAATTGGCACAGGCCCAGAGTTCAAAAATATGTTGACAATTCTCAAGGCGAATGCCTTTAATGTGCTTTTACTGCCCGTTTCCACAGGATAAAGTTTATATATTGATATATATTTTAGAATATAAATAGCCAATGGAGCCCACTCATTGCTCTTCAAGAGCAACTTATATCAGAGCTTATATCTTGCCTTCTATTGCCGGCAATTTGGTAGTTTCGTGGCGGTAACATCATGGATATTTTAATATAAAAGAAAAAATTGAGCTGTTTTCTTTAAAATATTGTCATTATGTACTTTGAAGTAAAATACCCTATTTTATATTTTTTAAGCGATTAAATTCGGCGAAAATGCTTTTTCGAAGCTATCTTACAAATGTTTATATCAAGATATAAAAAGCCCACACAAATATCGCTACTGATACAAGAATGATAGAATACAAGACTGCGCGGTGCTGGCCGTTGACATTTCTGTACCACAAATAAACAAAGAATATAACGAAAAGAAGAACGAGTTGAAACTGCCAAAACAGTTCACTTTACAGCGAAAAACGTGTTTTAACTAGGTAAATGCGAAACTATTGAATTTTTCACCTAATCTATTAGAGAAAAGTGAGCGTTTTAGTGCACTCCATTGCATTGCAATTTAGGCTGCTTCAGCAAACGTTTTAGTGCACTCCATTGCTTTGCAATTAAGGCTGCTGCACCAAACCGTGGCAGCATCTCCGCGCGATTATTTAGTTAATGCAGCGTTTTTGCTGCATTTAAAATGCAACATTTAGCACTTTCGAACATATGTTTTCGAAGAGCGTTCATGCTACAGCATTTAGCAAATGTACATTTACGCGAGTTCGAAATCGTATGCTTTTGACAAACAGCCGTGTTCCAGTCGCTTATTCAGATCCGTATCTATTACGATCAATTCTCATGGAAAAGATAATGTGCAAAAAAAACCCTACTGAAAAGGAAAAAATAAATTTTTAACCAAAAATTCAAAAGAAAAAATTGAATTGTTGTAACCATAACCGAAAATTGGTTTGTGTATATATTCATTTGTCGGTGCTGTCAAATAAAATTTCCTCACTTAATTAGGAAACAAAACAATCGGAGTTGATCACAAATTGATCCAGATTTCTATCAGCATCACATCGTTGTTGAATTTGCGTAACTTTTGTTTATCCAAATAATGTAAAATAAGAAATGAAATCTCGGTCGGCGATCACTGAAACGCAGCTAGCCACTGTATACTCGAAAATGCAATGTTGCCACTTTTTCTCACTAAACCATGATCGAATCGTGGAAATTTTGGAAGATCACAGGGTTGCATTTAGCATTTAGATTCTTAATGCAAAAATGGAGTTGCATTTAGTTGCATTTAGGTGACGAATTTTGTATGGATAAATGTACATTTAGAGTAGCGTTTAGAGCTAAATGCGCTAAATGTGCTTTTACGCGTAAGCAAAAACAGCCCATAACTTGCTAAAGGATGCTGTTTGAAGCTGAAGCAAAATCATTGTGACGAAATGCTGTTAATATAATAATAAAGAAACATTTCCGGCTTTGCTGTGCCCTATGTACACAAAATGCAGCGATTTGTCGCAGGGCTACAATTGCATCTACGCATCTTGCATCTTTAGGGCTGTCGCACACGGCACTTCATGTTATTAGTTTTTACGCAGCCTTCAACTCAAAAATCACTCACAAATTGCAATGTAACACAATTTAATTTGATTTTTCACTTATAATTCAACTTTCCCTTGCCGCTGATTTGTAAACAAAGGTTTATTTACAAGTTACCACAACTGTCAAAATCGGCAAAACCAAAGTAGCGGTACCACTGACGGCGCCACCTTTGTTCGCTGCACCGTGCTACTGATATAACCTATATCTAGCGACCACAGTGACAGCTGGACAGCAATAAATTGTAACCTGTGGAGACGGCCAGTTAAGCGGAATGCAGCGTTTTTGCTGCATTTAAAATGCAACGTTTAGCACTTTCGAACATATTTGTTCGAAGAGCGCTCATGCTATCGCATTAGCAAATGAATATTTAAACAAGTTCGAAATCGTATGCTTTTGGAAACAGCCGTGATCCAGTCGCTTATTAAAATCCGTATCTATCACGATCTATTTGCACAGAGAAGATAATATGCAAAAAACCCTACAGAAAAGAAAAGGAGAAATTTTAAACAAAAAATTCAATACAACAACTTTAATTGTTTTAACCATAACCGAAAATATGTTTGTGTATATATTCATTTGTCGGTGCTGCCAATTGAAATTTCTTCAATTAAATAGGAAAACAAAAACAGAGTTGATCACGAATTGAGCCAACTTAATGTATATGAAATCTCGATCGGCGATCACTGAGACGCAGCAAGCAACTGTATACGCGAAATATGGCAATGTTGCCATATTTTCTCATTAAACCATGTTCGCATCGTGGAAATATTTGAAGATCACAGGGTTGCTTTTAGCATATACACTCAATGCAGAAATGGAGTTACATTTAATTGCATTTAGGTGACGAATTTTGTATGGATAAATGTACGGGGAAACTTTCCAATAAGGGCGTTGGTTAAAAGGGCGGTGGACGGAAGGGGAGGCGCGTGGCACCCCCTTTTTGGAGAGGGCATAAACGTCCCCTGTAGGTCCCTAGGGACCAATTATAAAAATTACCAAAAATCACAATTTTCGCTTGCGTTTTCGCTTGTTTTAGCTAATCAAAGCACTGACTTGTATCAAAAGGCAGGAAACACTTGGCATTGTACTAAAATTTATAATTTAGTTATTAAAGTTTATACTAGCGATAATAAAACAATATTTCAACAATATGTAACAAAATCACAAACCGATACGAATTTGCAGCTAATAGTTATTTACGTTGAACTGTTAAATGGCTGAATGAAGAAGAGGTGGGTGGAGAACCCAACGAGCAATTATCCACAGTATTTTTGCGAAGATGTTTCTGTAAAGGCAGTCCTCGTCCGCGCTTAGGGATTATAACCCTTACTAAGTAGATTTATCCTTCATGTGTTGCGAAATAAATGAGGCTGAAACGCCTTACGCCATCCACGGTATTTTTGCACATAACTACTTTCTGCGTAGGCGGCCTTCGGCCACGCTTATGGATTATAACCCTTACTACGAAGAATTCTCCTTTCGGTGTTGCGAAAAAAGGGGGCCGAAACCCCTTACGTCATCCACAGTATTTTGGCACATAACTCCTTCTGCGCAGGCGGCTTTCGGCCACGCTTAGGGATTATAACCCTTACTAAGTAGAATTCTCCTTTCTGTGTTGCGAAAGAAAGGAGGCCGAAACACCTTCCGCCATCCACGGTATTTTTTTCAGTTAACTACTTTCTGCGTAGGCGCCCTGCGGCCGCGCTTAGGGATTATAACCCTTACTAAGTAGAATTCTCCTTTCTGTGTTGCAAAAGAGAGGGGGCCGAAACCCCTTACGTCATCCAGAGTATTTTTGCACATAAGTCGTAATATTGTGCATAATTGCTCGTTTGGTTAACCACACGCTTCTTCTTCATCCGGTCATTTGACAGTTTAACGTAAAAAAAAAACTAGTAGCTGCAAATTCTTATCGGTTTGTGATTTTGTTACATATTGTTGAAATATTGTTTTTATTATCGCTAATATAAACTTTAACAATGAAATTATAAATTTTAGTACTGCTCCAAGTGTTTCCTGCGTTCATTTGCTTAAAATAGACGAAAACGCAAGTGAAACTTGTGATTTTTGCCCATTTTCTCAGGAATCCCTAGGGACCTATAGGGGGCCTAGATGGTCAGCGGTTGCATTCTAGTGTATGGCGGTTTATGCTCTCTCTAAAGCATCCCTTTAACCAAAGCCCTTATTGGAAAGCCAACCCAAATGTATATTTAGAGTGGCATTTAGAGCCAAATGCGCTAAATGTGCTTTTACGCGTAAAGGCCTGTATGCAGTTCTCAAGAAAAGCTGAAATTCCATACAAAATGACGTACAAGAAATGGATAAGAAATTTTCTTAAGTCAAATTTCCTTCAGGCAGTACGCAGCTCTTAAGAAATTTGCTACGCTTTATACTACGATTTTCTAAAGTTTTTTGTGAAAAAAGAGCACAAGGCAACCCAGGTTTGCAACAGAAATATATGCCCGTTCCATTATTTCTTGAGGAAAGAGTGAGGCGACAGGCTGTGAAGTATCAAAAATGTCAAAATTACTTGGACAGACAAACGAAATAATGGCAAATTTTTCTTGACCGATTTCTTGAGAGCTGCATACAGGGCTTTAGGCAGTACGCAGTTCTTAAGAAATTTGCTACGCTTTTTACACGGTTTTCTAAAGTTTTTTGTGAAAAAAGAGAACAAGGCAACCCAGGCTTGCAACAGAAATATATGCCCGTTCCATTATTTCTTGAGGAAAGAGTGAGGCAACAGGCTGTGAAGTATCAAAAACGTCAAAATTCCTTGGACACACACACGAAATAAAGGCACATTTTTCTTGACCGATTTCTTGGGAGCTGCTGGTATGCAAAAACAGCTCATAAGCAAATCAACCCGGTTCATCAATCAATAACGGTTGCTATTCTAGACATATGTATACCAAAGGTTTGCCAACGTGTAAACACAAAGTAATGCTCCGCTATCTACACGCCCTATCGACAAAAAAACTGAACGAAATTACCCAGAGGTGCAGAGTATCGTAGCTAATCGAAAATATGTTGGTTAACAAGTCAACCCTTACATGGAAAATGAAATTTCATGGGAATGAAATGGAAAGAGGATAATAACAAATTAAATTAAAAAAAAAGAATGTAATAAAAACCAAAATAAGTGTGAAATATGAAAACATCAAATTTTAAGACTGTTTGGTAAATAAACTGTTTTTCGTTATCAGATGAAAAGATGATTGAATCAGGTAAGAGAAGTAAATTTAGGCTCCGATATGTATTTCAATTGAACGAAGCCTTGATATGGGCTATGCTATGGTTGGGTTTGTGTTTATTGGCCATAACATCAAATACATATTTTTTAACCATTAATAAACGAGGGGACAACTCAACCTGGCTTGTTTTGTAAAATTAAGTCAAAATTACAAATCTATAATGATTACAGGTGTGGACAATACCGAGGCACTTGATTGTATTCTTCAAGCCGCAAATAAACATCCCAATTCACGTGTTTCCAAACTTATACACAGTGTGGAAGAGGAACGTTCTCAAAAAAATATAGTTCTTTTACTTATTGAGTTGGCAGAACATGTGGAATATGCTACTGATTTTAGCATTTCTTTAAAATATGTAAGTTTTAATTTTACTTTTTATGTACATATGTATAAATGTGCATATGTAGCAAACATTTTAAATGTCTTCTAACCTACATGTTTAAATGTTATTTAATTGTTGTTGTATGAACAGTATTTAGATTTATTTGAGAAATTGGGTATAGGGCGTGAAATCGTATTGAATGAAGCTGGCTTGTTGCTACTAAACTCTTCAAAAGTTTATGCGCGACGAGTTGATTTCATACAGGAATTAGTGGAGCGCCAGATACTGACTTTATCCAATGCAGACAAGGAAATAGTTCAAAGCAGGTAAGGTGAACTCGCACTAGGTACGATTCGGTTATTTGTACAATGGTTTTGTGGTTGCGGCAGCGGGGGATGGGGTGTGAAACCGAAAACTCAAACCATTAGAAAAAGTACAGTCCAAACTTTCATAAAAACATTTTCTAAAGATCGCTAGGGACACGTTTGAAAATGGGGTAAATGGGTAATGAGTAAATGGGGTTATGACAGAAAATGTTAACTTGGGTTACGCCTTCCACAGTATTTTTTTGCGCAGAATATCTTTTCGCTTCAAAAAATAACCATCATTTTTTATTCCCACCACAGCCCGTTCTACGCACCGCATCTGCTCGCTTCTTCTGCTCAGGGCTGGCATTGAATCAAACCCTGGACCAAAAAACTATACCTGGGATATACTCTGTAGTGCGATTAGAAATGCAAATCGGGAGTACTACATAATTCCGACTTTTAACATCCCGATAAGACATAATCCAGACAATTTTTAAAAATTCAGAATATAAACAACCCAGACAGGACATAATACAGACATAAAATAATGACCAAATAAGATGCAGATAACACATTTTTCAGACAAGACAAAATCCCGACAAGACACAATCAAGACAAACAAATAGCAGCAGGTTGAACTACTACCTGAATAGGTTGAATGAGGATGTGCCGAATGAGTGTCCGGCATGCGGAGAGACCCCTCATGACTCGAAACATCTCTTCGCATGCCCGGAAAACCCGACAACCCTAACGGCCTTGTCCCTGTGGACAAACCCCACAGAAGCTGCACGCTTCCTAGGGTTGCCGCTAGTGGAACTTGACGACAACGACTGAGATACCAACCGTCCTGGCCGGGGTTGTTGTAGCCGCTACAACAACAACAACAACAAACAAATATTACAATGCGTCCAGCAATGGAATTGATGACTTATGCTTAAATATAAACGGTTACCACTCCACATTTTTTCGTATCTTCACCGCAAGAAGCCTACCCCTCTCCCCTACAAAATCCTCGGAAACCATTTTACGACAATGGCGAAAGGGGCCAGCATCAGCTGGGTATACGTCGACGACAAACCAATTCCTACGGTGAACAACCGGAAAATCGTCGGAAACAGCTCTCTTTCCCGGCGCACACAACTGGAATTGCCAACAAAGTTCAGAGACGTAGCAAAGTCCTCAATTCCCCAATTTGGCAGTACTGGTGCAAAGAAAAATAAACGGTGTTGCAAACACCCGATATACATGTCTCAAGTACTTGAAAGCAATTCTGGCTCATTCTCTTTTGTGTTTTCTATTTGCTTTTAAACGCTTCAATTCTGTTGAGCTCAAGTTTTTGGTTCTTTAAAATGTCAAAAGCAAAGCAAGAAATTTGAAACAACTAGACGGTACAGACGCATGCGAACAGAATGGAATTCAATACTTGAGCTGTGTAAAAGCAGTCAAAACATACACGGCAATTGGCCGTCCGGTTCTAAATTATGCAGCGCCTGCATGGTCGCCGGGGACAATTGGTACGCAGTAGACGAAACTACAGGCATACCACCACACAACACCCCGGACAACCGCGGGTGCCTTCTGATGTCGGCAGAAAATCACAGCCACAGTGAAGCCAAAATTCTCGTAGTAAGGGGCACAACATCATGCTCAGCAATCAATTCCTAGTAGGGTTCTACTATGGAAGCACCTTATCCAGCACTACTTAGAGCACCCCTGGGACTATTAATGGCATTTACAAACTCCAGTCGAGTGAATGCCGTCATCAGTGTACAATCATCACCTGTGAACGATAGAGAGCTTCAACTGCCACGATAGGCCCGCGTAACTCTGTTCCGACTCGCCTCCCAGCACCAAAATTAGTGTACAGCCTATGGAGATTCACCCCATGACACCAACCGCCTCTTCATATGGCCACTCAATCCAACTCAACTAACATCCCTCTCCCTCTGGTTCTACTCCACCGTTGGTTGAGCCTGCGGACAATTACGGGTTAAGTAAGCCGTTACAACAACATCCGTCTCCCTCTGGTTCTACCCCACCGTTAGTTGAGCCTGCGGACAATTACGGGTTAAGTAAGCCGTTACAACAACAACAAAAACCATTTCTTATGTATTATTGGTGAATCAAAACAGAAGACAATCATGACATACCGTATTGCGATCAGTCTCCCAAGGCATCTCCGAGGCTACAATTCAACTGTAACTGACTTCAGAGCAAGATCGAGGAGATACCGTCTTCATGGGTCAGCATCGAATATTGATAGCTGCGGTCGAAGAGGCAAAGCTTCATAGCAATTCAACATTGTTGATCTGCGCCGAATACAACGTGTACGAGCGAGATGATGGTGGAGGCTTAGCGTTTATCATGCATCATACCGTGCAGTATCTTCTTCTTCTATAAGCAGGCATCGACTGCAGGGATACCATCCCAGAATGTTGGGCATTGCTATTCGTTCAGGAGATGTCGAGCTCGATATATTCAAAGCTTACATACCCCCGGCGTGAAAATCCTGTGATAGTTGGCGAATTCAACGCGCACCACCATCTTGGCATCTAAGCCTGTCGAACAATTGTAGGAGAATACACTTGGGTGAACAGATATACGAGTCGAAATTCTGCACAATAAATTTTAATGGTTTCGTGATTCTATCTTAAAAAAAGCAAAAAATTCCATTATTGGTAAAATTTTTGGAAGATTTTATCGATGAACCAAATGAACCGGCAGCCGGATTCCAACTTTCGCTACAGCTAAAACTCCAAAAAACGCTAAATCAATTTCAGCAATTTTTAGTGATTTTCGCGATTCTATCTTAAAAAGGCATCTCTAAAAAACTACATAATAAACGACGACGCACCCACCACCAGCCGTATTCCAAGTTTCGCTATCGCTAAAAATCCATCGTTAAAAAATGCTAAATGAATTTTAGCAATTTTTAGTGATTTTCGCGATTCTATCCTAAAAAGGCATCTCTAAAAATCTCCATTTTTGATTAATTTTTGGGCAGATTTTAGCGATGAACAAAATGAAGCCGATTATTTTTTCGCTGATTCTTTGGAATTTCTTTTCATATGTTGAAGTGAAGCGACAGACAATAGCTAACTTAAAAAAACATTTGCAGACAGATCGCAAAAATGAAATTTTTTTGGGTGAAGGTGTTTCACGTTTTTTCCATACAAATGTAAGTTCGCAATTTTTTTTTATATGGAGGACACTGCCAGCAAAAAAATTTACAAAAATTAACGGACAGCTTGAAAGTTGCACTTCATTATACTAGAATTAAATGGTCTACAAAACTGCATACCAAAATTCTTATTAAAAAGTTTGAAATTTGGGTGAAAATGAGCAGAATTTTTGTTGTAAATTTTTGTACGAAGTTTGAAATCTGAATTTATATGGTGTTCGTTATATACCAGGGGCCTATTTCATATAAGTGACAGGTGCGACAATTATCGATTTTTCTATAAAATTTCACTGCCAAAATTGTCAGCGACATTTTTCCTGTTTCATATACGTTTTTAGGCAACTGTGAAATTTTTTGGAAAACGACAGTGATAATATGGAATATTGTCGACAATTATGCTGACAATTGTCCAAGGTATATTAAACAAGGTGGTGTTGGGGCGACAGCTGAGTTTTTCGCCGTGGAGGCCATTACGTCAAAATGATGTGTTTGTTGTAACTCATACCAATGACAGTATGGACATCAGCGTATAATTTGTTAGTGTAATTTTTTACTTATATACGGCCAACACCACCTTGTTAAATACGCCTTGCAATTGTCACTCTGAAAAAATTGTCGCTCCGTCTTTCACAGGAGAGTTTTGTGAAATTATTTATATGGTAATTGCGCGCGTTTCATTACTTTTCAATAATTGGAACTTTTCTTAAAACTAAAATAATGCAAATGCAATTATTACATATGATTTACATATAAATTTCATCTGACTGGCGAAAATTTTGTCAATGGCAATTTTAAACCCCGACAATGGATAATTTGGGACTTTTTGAATGGAATTTCTCATGGAATTTAAGAGGTGGTGACAATTGTTTTTATGAAACAAGACACCCACCAAACTGTCGAATTGTCACTGACAACATGGAAAATGCCTGTCGTTACAAAATTATCACTGTCGCTTTATGAAAAAGGCCCCAGCTAGACTTTTATAAAAAAAAATTTGCTTAAATAGCACCATATAAAAAAGTGTTCTATGTGATGTAAATACATGTGATATACGCATCGTCGCCTGGGTAAAAGATTGTCGTATGGCGATTTCGGCAGGTTGTGGGAGATCGCGATTGAAGTTTGGATGGCAATTTCTCAAAAACGCGAAGATAGATTTTCTCCAAAGTCTGAAAATGTTACTAGTTCATAAAATTTTTAAATTATTTAATTTTCAATGTTTATTGTTAATTAGTTTTGAGTATATCGATGGCTGAGTAGAAGATCGACCTATCTCGGCAGCCAGTTCGAAAACGCCCTATCTCAGAAAATTTTTGAACAACGCTCTATCTCAGAAAACTTTTCAAGAACGCCCCACTTCAGAATTTGATTGAAAAACGCCCTATCTCAGCTGTCGATTCAGAATCGCCCTATCTCAGCTTATTTTCAATGTATTTTCGTTTGAGATAGGGCGTTTTTGAACCGAATTCTGAGATAGGGTGTTTTTCAATAAAATTCTGAAATAAGTCATTTTTCAATTAAATTCTGAAGTATGGCGTTCTTGAAAAGTTTTCTGAGATAGGGCGTTTTTGAACTGGCTGCCGAGATAGGTCGATCTTCCACTCAGCCATCGATATTAAAATTTTGTCGTAAGCGTCATTTGTCCACAATTTGGCAGCCACTTTGTATGAAATACGACAAAATGTGATCAAAATTTCTACTAAATTAACGACACCTTTTACTCAATATCTCGGAAACTAAAGGAGATATCCAATAATGGAGAACGCCATTTTTAAGATATTGATTAGTTTAATATGACTGCATCACTAACTAAATTTTTACTAAATTATCGAAAAAAATTGTAGTCAATATCTCGGAAACTAAAGGAGATATCTAAAAATTGATAACACCAATCGAAAGATCTTGTTTAAAAATATATAACTGCTTCTAGAACTAAAAATCGTCAAAATTGCGCTTGCGACAACTTTTACCCAGGCGACGATATGTACATATATTTTTACACATACATGTGTATGTAAAGTTGCA